GGGGCAGCACAGAGCAGCCCCAGCCACCCCGGCTCGGCTCAAGCCCTGCCGGCGGACAAGGGCTGCACCGGAGAGCGGAGCAAGGGAGGTGAAAGGGCGGCTGTTTCTGGGTAGAACATCCCAGTCCTCAAGGCATCTCACATATTTAATATTGTAAATTCAAATTTGGAAATTTGGCCGTCATTTCCTGAAAATGAAAGCCTGGATTCTGGAGGAAATACTGAAGGCTGTATGTGGAAAACTATTTTTCCCAAACCAGTATGCAAATATCATATTCCTGCAGGCTGAATTCTAATGGACTTAACTGTAGCACACTGAAAGAAATGAAAGGCACATTAAACACGCACAACACTAGCCTAATTACCTTAAATTATTAAAAGCAGAAGAGCCCAAAATGAGCTTAATTACAATTATCTAATTTCATACACTAATAGTGAGCAAAAGTATAACAAATCCTTCTAACTCTATTTGAAGAGAAGATAAACTGGAAATATTTTCATTATTTTTTAAATCAAAATATACCCAATTACACAGAATCACAGAATGTTAGGGGTTGGAAGGGACCTCTGTGGGTCATCTAGTCCAGCCCCCCAGGGTATTCTTCCATTATTCCATTCTGGGCACACAACAGGCACAAATCTCCCACCAAGGTTTAGCTTAAAACCAGTATATTCGTAAGATCCTCAAAGTAAACTATTATTATTCATATATTATTATTATTATTATTACTACTACTATTATTATTTGTAAGATCCTCAAAGTAAACTATTGTTATTATTGTTATTGTTATTATATCTTCCACATTATTACATACAGGAGTTAGGATTCTAATCACAGAAAAACATATTTATTAATTCTACATATTATTATTATAGAAGTAGATCACATGTTGGAGGCTACTTGATTATAAAGACTAAAAAAAAAAATAAAAGCAGTATAAAAAAACGGAGCTCATTTTGAAGATCATACGAGCGTTTTTCACACTGAACACTTGAAGCTAATGAAGCTCATAACCAGCACAGGAAATAAAATGGCAGCTGATCTTCAAAGAAAGCATAATGGCTACTAATTGCTTTAAAACCACTTATGTGCCCCTCATTAACTAATATATTAAAAAATCAAAACCCAAATGTTTACATCAATCTTAAAATATTTTGTAAAAGAGGTTTTTTTGTTCCATTAAAACAATTTAAGGTTTACCTGTATTTTAAATAGAAAACTGGAACACTTTATACTTCTGGAATGGCACGCTGACCCAAGAAGAAGATAACTTTGTCACTTTGTCACATTTCTGATTCTTTCCTCTGATGAGAACCTTTTTAGAGCCCTTGCTGTTCACTGCATTTTAATGGCTCTGATACCAGAGCTGTAATCGCTCACTCTTATGAGTAGCGGTCTTTATCTTGCTTTAATGTCAGGTTGAACAACACATTGTGATTACGCAGACAGCGTGACCTCACTCTAAAATTAGATCCTGCGCCAGAGAGGTGAAGAAGTTTTCAAAGAAATGTAACTGATCTTAATTGCTAGTAGTCCAAAAATTTTCCTGAGACTAAATAAAGCTTTTCAGACATGTATCATGCACTGAACGAAGAAAGAAAAAGACAGTAATTTTAGTCACCAATTATGTAAGGCTTAAATCAGAGAAGCCAGAGTTATTGTTCAACACTATTTTCACTTTCTTCTTCACAAAATTTTTTTCCTTTTTAATTTCCTTTATCTAGCTTGGGGTCTTCTATCTAGCTTGGGGTCTTCTATCCAGCTTGGGGTTTTTTTGTGCTCATGTGAAATTCAAACCAAGTTCACATGCTCACAGTTGTTTGTGGTAAACAGCTTTCCAAATCCCACTGGAAGAGACTGGCAGCTGGACTCTCAAATCCCAGTTAAGAGTCTCCAGCTCAGAGTTTCACAGCATGACCCAGATCGACCAGAAAACGCAATCCGTCCCATGGCGCAGAGCCAAAGGTCCCGATTCCCGAAACTGCTGTTCTGCAGCGAGGCGGCTCAGAGCACACTGTGTGTGTGTATATACGTATCTCCATACGCTGTTGCATTGCCACACTCCATCCAGCTGTGCAATCAGCTAACAAACCTATCCAGTAAGAGCATACAGTGGGCATATACATATATTTTTTAAATCAGCTGAAAATATTTCTCCACAGAAGACCCCAAACCCAAATGCATACTAAAATACAACTAACAAATTACAACCTAACTTTGTAGGATGCAGTAGTAGCAACTAAAGACGCAGCCAGTGGTGGGAAACCCTTCTGCCAGGAAAACACCTGTTAACGGGAGTTTCTGCATGCGGAACAGCCCTGTGCGCTGTGTCCAGCACCGGCACGGCACGGTGCTTTGAGGGTGGGTGCGCAGCTGGGTGCGCTGCCCTGCATCCGAGAGGTTTATATCGTGTTGCATCCCACATCCACGGAGCAAGACTGGATTTAATCTCTTTCCCACTCTCTGTTTCCCAACCAAGCCAGTCACCCCCTGAATGCGGGGTGTCCTCTTGGCTGTAATTTAACCGTCCTTCTCATCTGTAACCTTTACTTCATGTCTTTTTTCCTTCACTCCATTAAATAAAGGAAAAACAGGCACGTACAAAGGAGCATGCATGTATGGAAGGTGCATCACCCTCCCTCCCACCTTCCCCTTCCTCCTCACTGCGACAGGAACCATCATCCAGCTACCGCAAGAGCCTAGGTGGGAAGGTGTATGAAAGTGGCTTTGCAGGCTTTTCTAAGAGTTGATTAATAAAACAGCAAAAGATGGGACATATCACAGAATCACAGAATGTTTGGGGTTGGCAGGGCCCTCTGTGGGTCACCCAGCCCAACCCCCTGCCCAAGCAGGGTCACCCACAGCAGGCTGCACAGCACCGCGTCCAGGCGGGGGTGGGATCCTCCCACAGCAAGCGGA